AGAAGCCGTTGGGCATATCTGCTGTTGGCACTGCTTGAATGGCTCCGTTTTGAAGTAGAGACTGAACCTCCTCCTCTAGAATAGGGTTTGATGTAGTATACTCTACCCTTCCTAGAGGAGGATATTCTGTAAACTCTAGGGTATAACCAGATGAAACAATCCTTAGAACCCAGGAATCGCTTGTGATAGTCGACCAGTTTTGAAAATATGGCTGGAGTCTTATGTCTGTGACGATAGATGAGGGGTGTGCTAACCAGTCAAAGATATTGTTTGTGTTTCTTTGCAGGTGGCTTGTAGGTCTGACGACGCTGTGACGCCTGGTGGGCACGGTAAGTAGATTGAGTAGAGGAATTTTGAGGTAAAGCAGAGCGGGAAGCTTCTTTGAACTGTCTGAACTGTTGGGAAGGTGGATTGTATTGATTAGAAGACCGTTTCCATTGGAATCTGTTGAACTTTGGTTGTGGCTGAATATAATAGGACTTAGCAGTTTTCTTTGCTTTGTGTAAGTCCTCAAGATGGTTATCCGTTTTCTCACTAAAAAGACCAGAAGAATCGAAGGGTAAATCCTCAACTTTAGCCTTCACATCCTCAAGGATGTTTGCAGCACGTAACCAGGCATGTCGACGCAGGTTGACAGCAGTAACGAGGATTCTAGCTGATGCTTCCACTGAATGTAAAGTAGAGCGGGAAGTCTCTTTGAACTGTCTGAACTGTTGGGAAGGTTGATTATATTGATTAGAAGACCGTTTCCATTGGTATCTATGGAACTTTGGTTGTGGCTGAATATAATAGGACTTAGCAGTTTTCTTAGCTTTGTGTAAGTCCTCAAGATGGTTATCCGTTTTCTCGCTAAAAAGACCAGAAGAATCGAATGGTAAATCCTCCACTTTAGCCTTCACATCCTCAAGGATGTTTGCAGCACGTAACCAGGCATGTCGACGCAGGTTGACAGCAGTAACGAGGATTCTAGCTGCTGCTTCCACTGAATGTCTGGTTGCAATTCTTTGGTGTTTGGAAACCGTTTGTGCTTGCTCATAGGTGTTTAGGAAAGCCTGGCGTGCATCAGCTGGCAACATGTGCAAAGCTGGCAACATTTTAATCCACAGCTGCTTTTGATATGCTCCTAGAGCAGTTTGATAATTAGCAACTCTGAATATAAAGGCGATTAAAGAATAAAGTCGTCTACTGATTAACTCAAGCTTTTTCCCTTCTTTGTTCGTGGGGATCACATGCGCCTTTCCTGATGGTTTAGTGCAGCTGGTCTCCACTATAAGGGAATTGGGGATAGGATGTTTTAAAAGAAATTTAGCATCATCCCCAACAATCTTGTACATATTCTCCGTTCTCTTGGGTAAGGGCACCGATGCCGAAGGGTGTTCCCAAAACTCCTGAATGATCTTTAATAAGGCAGGTAGAAAGCAAAGGCTAGGAGGTGGTGATCGTTCTTTATTAATATCACCAAAGATGAGGTCCTCTTCTGGTGGTGCGGGCTCGTCAACGCGTAGCTTGAGTGTCTTTGCGAGCCTTGATAACATTTGTGAGTAAGAGGAAAAATCCTCCGAGGGTGAGGAATCGTGAGGGTTGCCTGTATCCGAGTCTACCGTCTCTCCTACCGGTAACTTGTGAGGTGTAGGTTGAGGAGGCGGTTCTTCCTCCGACTGAGATTCTTGTGATGAAAAGGAAACATCATCATCATCAGATGAGAGCTCATGTCCTCTCGTTCGACGTGGAGGTGGGGCCTGAGGTATGACTGGAGGAACGGGTTGAGGAGGGGGAGGAGGAGGAGGAGGCGCGGTCGACATCGACGGGACCGTAGAAGGCGGAGCAATGGGTGGAACTGGTAGTGGAGGAGGTTGAACGGCGTCCCCTACCCTCTTCTTATGTCGACGTCGATGTTTCCTAGGTGGGGTCGACGGCGAAGAGGAGGAAGAGGGGGAGAGGTAAATATATTTAATCCGTCGACGTCGATGACGACGGTCGGGCGACGTCGACGGTGAAGGAGAATAAGAGCGACGTCTGGATCGGCGCTTGCGACGACGGCGACGAGAGTCGGAAGAGGAGGAGTCAGTCGACGTCGATCTGTGACGACGTCGGGAACGCTTGTGCCTGTCCCTACTGTCTCTATGAGGTGAGGCTGAGCGATCCTTAGAGCAGTGCTTCCTCTTCGCCTGCTTTTTTCTCGGTGGCGAGGG